CTAATGATGTTTAAAAGCCAAACTTTCTGCATGCTGCGATATTTTCGTCACATATGTATATGACACTCTGAGCATTGATGATGGTGTATAATGACGGCTGAGAGCTTGCTGTTCACAAACAACCAAAAGTGACCTCTCTCATCCACTCCAATCACATCGAGAGTGCAGAAACATATCCCGCACCTTTTCAAGTCTGAGCGGGGGGGGAAAAAATATCAGAGAATTTCCAGAAGAGAAACTGTTGCTTTTTCTGCCTTTGAAAATTGGCTTTTGTTCCTAACAATTCTTATCAAAGCCTTGTATTCCTTTTTATTTGTCTTTTCCTGGACTTAAAGTCATTACCGAGCCCAGATTAAAGAAGATGCTACAATTTTCTTTGGGGTTACCGAGATCAAAGCAAAAATTCTCCTTGAAGTCTGCGTGAGTGGAACTGCTCACCGCTGCACTCAACTCAACGATTGTTCGCCGAGCTCGAGAGCTGGTGGTTTGTTCAGCAATATCTCAATGTTAACTACTATATATTAAATAAAAACAGTCAACTAAACAAAGAGGGGGATTTTTCAAAAGCAGCTGAAGCTAAACAAAGAACATAATCCATAGATAAAAACGCCTTCCTGTGCATTCGCATGCAAAAAATCTTTACGATACTGTAGCTACAGAAGAGAAAAATCACTAAATGAAGATTAAATCGAGACGTTTCTCCTCGTGTTTCTGATGAAAAGGGATCTCGACAGTGTTCTGCACTATGAAACATTTCTCAAACACTTCTCATCCCTCGATCAAATGATCTGAGCTGCTCTGCACTCATTTATAACTCTATAATCACTCTGTATGACGACTCTGACAACATTAGTGAACTAAACGAGTTAACGTGAACCATCAGTGAACAATACTTCTACAGCATTTATTCATCTTAATTTTGACATTTACTTTTATGTTTTCAAATGAGACGCTGGATGCGTTAATGCACTGTGAACTAACACAAACAAACAAACAATGCATGCATTTCTATTTGCTTGCATTAACCGATATTAATAAATCCTTTAAAAATAGTTTGTTCATTGTTAGTTAATGCATTAAGTGTTACCATTTTTATTTTTACTAATGAATTTCAGAATAAATATCTGAGGAAAAAAACATACTGAGATATGAAAGAGCCACCTCTGAGCAATACAATTTTCCTCTTCAATTTAGTTGAATTGTTTTTAATCTTTTTTGTGGTGTTTTGGTATTAAAGGGCAGTTCACCCTAATACAGTATATGACTTTCTTTCTTCTGAGCCACACCGAAGAGATGATATTTATTAAAATGGCATTACGATATTCTAAGATATTACTTCCACAGACTAAAAACACTGAAACATTTCTCGTAATAGCATCTTCTATGTTCCTCAGAAGGAAAAAGGGTCACACTATAGTTTGGAGACCATTTCTCACTATTAACTATCTATAAACTATGACTTTTGCCTCAATAAACTGCTTATGAATAGTTAGTAAGGTAGTTTAGGTATGGGGTGGATTAAGGGATCTAAAATATGGTCACGCAGAATAAGGCATTAATATGTGCTTTATACAATAAGTACTAATATACAGCCAATATGTGTGCGTGACCATACAATGCATTGTTGGCTATTGCTACAAATATACCCCAGCGACTTAACACTGCTTTTGTGCTCCAGGGTCACATATGCATTCTAATAAGCAGCTAGTTAATAACGAGAAATTGACCATTAAATAAAGTGTCACTAGAAAAAGTCCTACAGGTTTGGAACCACGTGAGTAAATTATAACAGCATGATCGTTTTTGGATGCAATATCTCTTTAAAGTGCTAGAGACGGAGCGTTCAAAGGATATATTGAGCGACATGAAGGAGCTCCTCTCAGCCATGCTCTGCAGATCTCCACACTCCATCTTGATGTGAGGAAGGCAGAGCGCGTCCACCGACACCAGTCCAGTCTGGTGCTGACCCAGATGCCCCGAGCTCAGCTTGGACCTCATGGCCAGGCTTTCCCACGGACGCTCCACTGAGTCCGGCGAGGACCTCTCCAGACAGAAGGTGGAGTGAGGGCCGTACTTCAGCAGGTGCTCCAGGATCTGGCTGTCGTGCAGAGGAGCGCTGTAGCCCATCTGGAAAGGCGTCTGGTGCAGCGGGAAAGGTCTCTTCACAGCCTGGCTCAGAGAAGGTTTACGGACCACTAGGGACAAGGCTTCGGTCTGGTGCTCCGGGCCGTGGCTCTCAAAGCAATGCCTGCTATTGACGTTTTCCTCAGAATCCGACAGATCCGAAGGGGAGTCCTCTGGGATCCGCTTCTCGGTTTCCGAGCAGTCCGGACTGTGGCATGGGGATGACTGGTTCAGAAGACTCGTGGAGAGCTTCTTGAAGACCGTATCGACGCTTTCGCTCACAGTCCTGGTCAGCTCGCATTTGAGAGTCTCTTTGAGGTTCTTCATCGCCCTGTCGGAGCCGAAACCGCCAGGTTCCACTTTGACTCGGTCTTTGTGTCCACCGTCCAGCCTCAGACTTGAGAGCTCTGACCTCGCATCTTCCCGTTCCTCGCTCTCCGAGTAATTCTGGTCGTGCACGTGCGAGATCTTCTCCTGGAGCTGATGCAGGAGACGCTGCATGCTTTGGAGCTGCTCCTTGAGTTTGTGGCACTCCTCGTCTTTGCTGGTCTTTGGTTCCTGGTGCTGGGGGAGCCTCTGCTTGCGTTTGTTCTCCTTCAGGAGGTCTCTTCTACAGCGGACGGCTTCGCACTCGCTTTCCGCTTCTCCGTCGGCATTGGGCGAAGCAGCCATGCCTCGTATGATGTTCTCCACCCGGGCGCGTTTGGCTTGGAGGTGCTCGCTCACAGACAGATCCTCGTCTTTGAAGGACAGGCAGCTCTGCTCCTCTCGAGCAAAATCATCGGCGCTGTTGGACTCGGGATCGAAGCCGCTGGCGTTTGCGGAGGGCAGGTAAAGGAGGCTGTTGTCCAGCGAGGTCAGTTTATTGTGAATGGTTTTCCGCAGGAGGTGAGATATGATGGAGCCGCTGTGGTAGGACGCCAGAGGCTCGTCAAACGCGCTTCTGCGGAAACAAGGGAGCAAGTGCTCGGCTTTGCTGCCGTCCATGCTGTGTTCAGACGGGCTCAGGTTCATGGTGTTCGCAGGCTGCAGTTGCTGGACTTTCCAGACACAATAATGAGCCTCAGAAGTGCGTGATCTGTAATACTTTGTAAAAAAAAAAAAATAAAAGAAATAAATTAGGCATTAGAATAAC